TGCTGCTCCTTCCCCTGTTGCCCTCCCCAGATGCTGATCTCTTCCCCCACCGTCCACCCCGGGTGCTTCCCCTCCCTCGTTGCCCACCTGGGGTGCTGCTCCCTCCTTCACTGCCTACCCCCGGGGGCTTTCCCTGCCATCACCCACCTCCCCATTTCCCACAGGAAACACCCCAGGAGATGGCTCTGCTGGGAGCAGGGATGGAGCACCCAGGGCATGCTGCTCTGTGTGCCTGTGTGGTGGCCAGGGCAAGCAGGCCTTGTGCAGGACCCCGTCCCACCCCCAAGCCTCAGCACCAGTGCTCGTACTCACCTGCCATCAGCCCTCAGTCCCCAGCTGAAGGAGCCCCAAAGAGTCGTTCCACTGCAGAGTGGAAGGAAATGAAAGCAACACCTCTACACAGCTTCATTTCCTGTCTCTGCAGTCAGGTCTTCCTCCCCGGGTGCTGCTGCAACCCGCCCCAGTCCTTGCGGTCACCTATAGCCCAGCACATATCTGATGCCCACTGGGCTTTGCAGCCACGTGTGGAGCTCCTCCTGGGGGTGCTCAGCACATCCCTGTGACACTGGGACACGATGAGCATGTGTGACTCAGCACCACACCACCCAGCACCCGCGGGGTGAGGAGGAGGCTCCCAGACCCCCCAGGCACGGGACCGCTCTGCTCCTATCTCATCACCCCAGGGCCAGGCAGAGGTGGCCTTCCTCTGCCAAGGACCAGCACCTCCTGCGTCCACACATCCCGCAAACCCTCCAGACCTGTCTGGGGCTGAGCTTGGCTCGTCCCTTCCAGGTGCTGGCAGGGAGACAACGCCTTGGGCATCAGCATCTTCATCCACCCAAGGGTTCCCCAGCCCGTCTCCATCCCACAGGCACTGGGGTGAAGAGAAGCCTGTCTGAAATGCAAGATCTGGACTGTAAGAAACCCTGAGGTTGCCCCATGGTGGGATGAGCAGGGCTGCTTTGCAGGGCAGGCGGAGCACAGGGTGAAACACCCTCCCTGGAGGGGGTCACAAAATGTGCGGATGTGGCACCTCAGGACAGGGCTGAGTGGTGACGGTGGGGTTGGGTTGATGATCTCAGAGCTCTTCTCCACCCCTAACGACTCTATGAGCTGGGTGGGAAGCACCGAAGCAACCCCAGCAACGGGGAAACCCAGAGATCGGCGGTG